GTTGATATCGACCCCCAGGGGTCAATGCGGCCAGGGGGTCGATTGAGGGGTCGATGCGGCTAAGGGATCACAACCTTTTTTTTTTTCTTTTTTTCTTAGACAGAGACCACAACGTCTTTTTTTTTCGCTCATACACATACACTTGTAATAAAACTTTATGGTGGGGGTCAATGTGAGGCTTTGGAAAGTGATTGGGGGTCGACGGTTAAAAAAAGTTTGGCGACCCCTGGTTTAAGATAATGAAAGCATTTGTTTTTATATTAGTTCTGCAGGTTTGAAAGTTTATCCCTTTTCCATTACTGAAGTAACCCATTTTTGCTCAAGTTTTTTATTTGACTTTTATTTGTTAAAATATATGTTTTTAAATGTCTTGAATTATTATACACCAGCAGGTAAGTCTGGCATTATCCAGGCAAAAAAATAAGAACAAACATTAACTCTCTCTCTCCTCTGGAGGGGGATTTCAAAACATCCCTTCTTAGTGTACAATACATTTTAATGATGTACAGTAAACTAACTGTGTACGAAATTTCAACATTCAACTCCTAACTTTTTGTGTGCTCTAAACTTATTATTATTATCAACCCATCATAATTATAAGTTAATTTAAAATATTTAATATTTTAAAAAAAGTGTTGTTTGCACAGTATATTTTTTTCTACTTTCAAATTTATTTACTCGGAATTGATAAGTCAATGAAATCTGCAAATATACGACATCATTTAGTGATATCATGTAGCGGTTCTTTCATTCACTGCTCATTTACATAGATATGGAAGTCAAGATTTTAAATTTATATCTTTAATGATGAAATCTTTAAATACCTGGATGAAGTTTGTCAATATGATGAAAGATTATTTTATAAAATATGATGTTTAATGCTATTTTAAAACATAATTTATAAGCCTCTATTTTTTCCGTGCAAAAATATCATTTTTCTAACTGAATCATGTTTTGTAAAAAAGATCGATGCAAAATCCATTTAGACATATCGTCAGTTTCATTTTCTGTCAATCGCTAATTGTACCATTGAGAGATTAATGTCTGATTGCAGGTTTACATGCATACACACATTGTCAATTCAGCTAAGCTTATGAATCATTGCAGTTGTCAATTGGTTGTATTAAAATTTCTAAACACGGACCGATATTAGTAATTTGTTGATCATATTATCGTTATAATATTATTTTAAATTATATAATATACACTTAAATTATAAAATGTATACACACACATAAAGATATAAACGGGTCAATCAAAGAGCAGGTACTTCTAAAAAATTTCCTTGTTTTTTGGATTTTTGCCAAATATGACAAAATTCGAAAAAAAAATTTTTTTCTTAAACTCATTTTATTCATTTATTCTCTTCCGTTGAATAAATGTTAACAATACTCCGCTGTAGCTTTTAAATTTAAAATTTTTATTGTAAAAATCTCTTTAAAAATTATATATGTATATATATAAACGAATAAATGGCATATACTAACCTCGAATCATCCTTAAAGAAATTATAAAGAACTTTTCTTATCACCACCTTTCAAGCATTTTATGTAAACTGACTACGAAACATGTTCTTGTCAACCAAGAATGATTTATTTGTATGAGGTCGATGTTTTCGTGATCATAGCAACTTGACATGTTGACCTCTGTCATGTAAAAGAATCTCGGTATTTTTCTAAATATGTATCTACTTATTTCAAGTTTTTATCTAAATTATGTTAAACCTCTTTAACAATGTCCAATTTTCTTAATTGACTTTTTGAATAATTTCCATTAACAGTCTCAACTCAGATAGCGAATTGTTATTAACCGTCTTCATGTAAAATAACAACTTAATAAGAAACTCGATACTTAAGTTGTAATTGCATTTGTGGATATAAAAATGCAATTTTTTTTTTGAATGATGAATTTTCAAGTTTCTCTTTTTCCTGTCTCCATAAAAGCATTATTTATACAATATTTATTCCTTTTTTATATAAAAGTTGAATAGTGGAATTCTTATACATTTTTCCTGTCGAATTTTCTTCCACCAACATCATATCTACCTTGAATGAACCAAACTCGCATTTATTATCTACAAAATAGTAAATGTTTTTTTTCCATAGCCATATATTGTTGAAGAACTGAAAAGATGGACTGTCTACTCGACGTCAAGGAATACAAATCAGATATATTTCAATACGTTTAGGATAAAAGCTGTGTGGACCGATGCATTTTATAACATCGAACGGTATGGCTTCTGCTGTCAACATTTGAGAAGACACAAACTTTTTTCCTATTGAAATCCCTTAGAGACTGAAAGATTTTTAGAATTCACAAAAATTCAATATTTATATTTTCTAAATTCTAAGTTTAAAATTTGTAAATAATGTTTGAAAAATAAAATATAATGAAAGAATTTATAAAATCATTTTAGAAAATTTTTTGCTTTTAAAAATTTTCTTTATATGTTAGAGTAGAAAATGAACCACTCTGTTTTGTGCATTTCTTGCATCTGAAGAATAATAAGCAACCAGCAACATTTCAATGATGAATATCTATTCCTTCACATTGTATTTTTATACATGAGAAGGTACTTTTTCATTCTGCTGTATGTATACTCATCCGTCATTTACATAATAAGTTTTCTTTCTTAACTTCTTCCATCAGAAACTGTCGGGAACATGAAACATGAAACTAAAATTACTAAATTACGTCTCAAAAGTAATATTCTGCAATAAATAAAAAATACATAATTTTATCTTATATAATATATATACTTTTTTAAATTCCTTCTTTTATAAACAAATTACTTTTGCATATTTAACTGGTAAATTACAATTTTAAAGAAAATTGAAATTAATAATATTTGTTATATAATAAAACAATTAATTATTTTTTTCAGTAAAAATGTACTCTATTTATCGATTTATAGTGCTAAATATGAGTGATGAATATCTAAGGATTTGTACAGTTGCATTTTATTTTAGATTGCAATCTAAAATTTACAATAAAAGAAAATATAAGCGACTTCAATTCATCTTTACGATAACTGTTTGGGTTGTAGATTAGTAGAAAAATTCCAATCTTTCTTATGTCAAAAATAATATTTATTCCGAAATAACGATATAAAGTTGTTCGAAACTTTTTAAAAGTTTAATCATTTGTATATTATTACTCTAAATATTAATATTTAAATAGTTTATAAATATACTTTTTGCTTTAAGGTATAATATAAAAAATGATATATGATACTAATAAAGCTNACTTTATATATACACTGTATATATAAATTTAAAATTAACATTTTTCTATACAGTACATTTTTTTAATTTTGATATTTTATACTGTGTATATATATATATATATACAATTTTAATTTTAAATTTATATATTACATTTTATAAAAATGTTTATAAATAAATTTATTGTTGAGTTATTTACAAGCTACTTTGGGCATTTTACAATGTAATATGCCCAAAGTAGCTTGTTTCTAAGAGCCAAAGTTTTTTACAAACAATTGATCCTGAAAGGTCTTAATTAAAGAATTGTTTATTAAAAGAAATAAACAATTATAGCAAAATTTGTTTAAATTGTGTAGATTAGAAATAAAATAAAAAAAACAATTTTTCTTAAATATTTTCACTTTTTGAAGGAAGCTAGTTTCTTCAAAACTTGAAAATACACTTAAATCCAGTTCAAATTGCTTATTTTCAGATGAAAAACTTTAAGAAAATTGAGTTTTTTGCTGTATTCCAATCATCATTTTTGTCAATTTTTCATTCTAAGCAATTAGGAAAAGCATTTTCATTCCAAGAAAAGCAGTTTGAGTGTTTGATTTTATAAAAAATAGTTATTATAATTTTAACAAAAAAATTTTGTTTATAATGTTGTTGGAACAAATTAATCTTTAAATCTTTGATTTGTGCAAAATTTACCATAGTTATTTTATTTGGTTACCCATTCAAACTCATCTAAATCATTTCATAAATGACATGTCAGAGCACAATGGATACAAGAATGGAAAGCAATATGCAGTGCAGTATGCGGGAGGATAACCTATAACTACCATTATGACAACATATATACATATATGTACAGTATATAGTTAAATTTTATTCTTTATTTAAATTTTTAAAATTTTAAATGTCTTAAATTAATCCTGTTTTATCTAAAACTGGTTCTTTCATGAATTATAATCTTTACTGCAAATCAAATTAGAAGAAAGTAACATGATATCTAATGTAATTTTCAAACATCTGTTTAATGTTAGAAAACAGAAAAAATTGAAAATGTCATTCAAAATAAGAACTCATGATTTTATAAAAATAAATTTCCATATGATCCTAATTTGTATTTGTTTAGGACATGAAGTCATTTGAACTATTGTGGATTGTCATTGTTGTTATTCAGGAGGGAAAATAGTCAATTGTTTGGCAAATAACAACTGTGTACAGAAATTTTTGCCAACACTTTCGGTTGTTGATGTGATAATGATGATTGACTTTCCTCTTATTTTTCATTAGACTGTTTGAATATATTACAATGCAATAATGGAAAAGTGCTTTAATGGAGAATTATTATTGATTTCATTTTATCTGCAAAGATGTTTTAATTTTAATGAAATAATTTGAAAAAGAAAGGCTTAATGCATCATTTCTGTTTGAAAAGTTAATTTTCTAAACAATATAAATTTTTGTTTTAGAAATCATTATTAAATTAGATCCAACTGTTTGAAGAATAATGTTTTCAATAATTCAACTTGTTTTTTAATATATTATATAATGTAAACACTTACTGAACTAACTGCTCTGAGGCCTTGATATGACATTCAACTTGCCTAATGATTTTTCTAGATACTTATATTATTGTTATAACTTGTTATTTCTCTTATAATTTTTCTTATTGATGCAATTTTGGCAAAGAACNATTAATAAGTGACTATTAACATTTTCTAATTCGTTTTAAAAGTATTTTGTATAATTATAAAAATCAAATTTAGGTAGATGTCGCGGTGACATCACATCTATTAGTCTGGGGTGACCTTCAGATGATGAGCTCCAGCATTAAATGGAAACAGCTGCATAGATAATTGTATATGGTTTATTACTTCACGACTTAAAATTTAAGTTTCGGCTAACTTTATCAGGTAATCTGAAGTGTAGAAATAAGTTTTATTTTTATGTTAAAATTACTACGGAAGATTTTATTGAATGAACTGTTCATTTTCCGGTTTGTGACCTTTTGAAAGGTTGAAATTTAGAGGTTACATTATAATTGTTTTTTAAATGAAAATATATTAAATATTTAATTTAAAACAATTTTTTTCAGTAATCTGCTGTTAGATAAAGTCAAAACTATACTGAAAAATTCTAAACTATCGACAGTGTAATTAATAATTTACAAAATGGTTTTGAAATTAAATTCTTCATGCATCGTAAATTAGGATGTGATTGTCTGTATTTATTAGTCTGGAATATAGCAGATATTAAATCGTGTTTTTCAACTGCCAGCCTATATTACACTGTTTCAAATAAAATCTTATGTCCTGTGATCATTTCTTTAGCTTCAAAAATCAAATCTATTCAATGAGAGGCAAAAAATTGCATTGATTACTCCTTGTTTGTAGGTGTGATAAATTATTTTTTTGAATTCCATTTATATTCTGTTACTAAGTTAAGCTTTTAATTATCAGAATGAATGAAATACAGTAATGTGAAAAAGATATCTGTATTTTTAACTATTCTTAGTTGAAAATTTTTGAAAATGTACTATTTTGTAATATATTGGGTAGAGAACCAGTTTTGTAAATAGTTTGAAATAATTTTGTTTACTTTATGATTTATTGTATTATTGCTTAGTGATCTTATACATAGATAGTATAAAGTTTGTAGAATTTGTGCATAATGCATTGAAAATGGGTACAAATGCTCAAGTCATATGATATTAGTTTCATTGCATTGCATGAAGAAAGCCAAGATTGAACACATGAAAACTTTATTCCCTTACATGTGAAATAACATTTTCACATATTAATTTGTGCACTTTAATTCTCCTCTTTTCCTCTTCTATTACTTTTCCTGCTGTTATAATAGAGGGAAAGTATGGGAATCCAGAAAAAAATGACACCCCCAGATTTTTACATTTTTGGACTTAGGACATCTTGAAATGCTGAGAAATGCAAAAAAATTCAGAGGTAATTTCCGTATGTATGGATTAGTGATGTGCCGGGTATCCGTATCCGTGGATATCCGAGGGAAAAAAAAATTCGTATCCATTACTTTTTAGCGGATCTTTAACGGATCTTTTATCTTAATGAATTTCATTACTTATATGAAATTTTAAAGATAGGTAGCAATAAAATTCTAATAACTTCAATTCAAATCACTTTTTATTTCTTAAAATCACATATTTGGCACATTCACATTGCAAAAATTTTATCATGCAAAATTCATTTACTATCGTAAAATATTTCCATATTACACTACTAAACTTTTTTGTCGACATTGTTTTTATTTTAATTTAACTCAACACTCTCCAAAAATACAAACGTAATCTACGCTGTTCCGTGTCACACTAAACTATAAACAAAAACATGTGCAGTGCAAGTCAAAACATGTCGCATTACTAACGCAAAGCGGCAACTATTGGTCCAAGGTCACACGCACCGGCGCCGACTGAGTGCAAAAGTTGAGATCCGTATCCGTATCCGCAGATCTAGACACTAATGATCCACGGATATACATTTTTAATGATCCAGCACATCACTAGTATGGATGTTTGTCTATATATATATATGTGTGTGTGTGTGGGGGCATGATTTTTTCACCCTGTTTGAAGCCTAATAACTCCTGAATTTGCAAGGAGGTTTGTTTATTAGGGGGATTGATGCTATTAAATTTTGGTGGTTAAAGGTCGAGGTGGTGGGGAGATAATGAGAGTTATGTATATTTCCAGTAGGGTTTACAACTTTACTTGTTGAAGTATTTACAACTTTTTTATAAAACTCATCCCTACCCTCAAAATTAAGTTTTTTGATATTTTGTAATAGTTAAAAATATAAAAAGTTTTTACAAAATATAACAGATGGTGCCACCAAAGTTTTAAATCTTGCCAGGAAAGTTGAGCAACTCGTTGCTGGTTTATTCTCCAGTTTGTGTTAGCATAGTTTTCTTATTTATTCCTTCTTATTATTTATCTTATTTATATTTTCACACTTGTATAACTGTATATGTTCTTTCTTTTCAGCTTCCCTTTCAAATAGAGTTAAATGAATCTTATTTTATAGTGAGAAATGATCAATTATCATGTTATATAAAGTTCTTATATTAAAATATTGTAGCTAGTATCCATCAAATCTATAATATATATTTTTTTATACACTCCAACCAATCCATTCCATGCTTTTACTTCTCATTTTTACTCTTCTTTGTTTGTTGTTATTCTTGGTAATGCAACTGTGCAGTAAGAATGTTTTGGTTAACTGGCTAAATCTGTGAAGTGAAAGTAACTCATGCAATGAGCATAGTTTACTCTTTAGATTAATCACAAGGTCTGCATACAACTACAGAATGACTAATTGACTAATCTGCATAATAAATTTATTATGAAGATTTATTATTCTGTAGTTTAAATGGTAACTTGTGAGATGGCCCCAAGAGAATTTATTTAAAAGGAGCAAAATTTGGGAATAATCAGAAAGTAAAGACGTGAATATTATTCAATAAAGGAATCATTGTTATTCAAGAGAATTAATATATTTCGTAATTCTTTTCATCTGATGGTCCTTTTAAATTTTTTGAAGAATTTGAAGACTAAGTTTGTCCAATTTGGGAACACCATTTATTAGTTTGTATTTTAGACAATACATTAGCCAGGAATGAATTTAGACAATACATTCCTGGCGAATGTATTGTCTAAAATACATTTAAAGAAAGAATTAACTGATTACCCCTGGAAGTCAGCTTCTTATAGAAACACAGCTTCCCTATCATCAAATGTCATGGCATGCCACTGTTCTAATGATATCTGAAAGATTGGAAGATGAAATTTTAATCCAAAACAGTTTTTATTTGCCATCAGTATCTTATATAATGTAAAGGTTTTAGAATTAGATCTACTTCATATTTTTAATTGTCATAATTTCTTATTTACACTAGTGATTTTATTTATGTACTAGCTATACTCGGCCACGTGTTGCTGTGGCTCAAAATGTATCTATTATAAATGTACAACACACTCCATTGGGGAATTTCAAAAAATCCCTTCTTAGTGTACATTCTCTTGACGTACCCTATTAAAATGCAATCAAAAACACAGAAAACTGCATCTAAAATAGAATTATAGAAGACCAGGTCTTCACGGTAAGCCTTAATTTTGTCCCTCTCCCCTGCGGGGGAAAATTTCGACATCTATATAATATAAAAACACATGTGTATTTGAATGCAACATTGTTTCAAAATTTCAAAGCAATCAGTTAAGAACTTTTGGAGATTTAAGATTTTGAACAAACGGACATTTACATTTTTATTTATATAAATAATTACTTTTAGACTCCACTGAATAATTGGATTTACACTATTGATCTTTTAGATATATTTATCCTTATACTTAGTTATTTGATGTAGTTTCAGGAGGCTAATAAGTAGAATGAAATCAAATTTAATTTATGAATTTATTAATTTTTCAATCTAAGAGCTTATTAATAAAAAATTGCATAAATTTGAAAATATTTGAATTAAATTTAAAGATTATCTTTTTAAGTATATTTGAATCATAATAACATCTGCAAAGATGCTCAGAATATGTTTTGAAGCTATTTGTATTCCAATTTTTAAACTATTGAAAATATTAATTATGATACTTTTACTGTTTAGTTCAGGAAACCAAATTCCTTTTTATTAAGAAATGTTTTTGAGAACATTTCTGAATAAAAAGCAGTTAATTTTACTACTTAGTTTAAGAAATCAATCATTATTAATATGGTATCAAGTTTTTTCAGCATTTGTGTATTCACTGATAATTTTTATCAAATTTCTTTTTATTTGATTTTTTGATGAATTTTCTGATGTTATATTTTTCTATTCTTTTGAATATAAAAATGTCAGAATAGAAAATGCTATCAGCAAATATGTTATATATTAGGGAGAAAATAGAACAAATAAAATATAAATAATGCAAATAATATATGGAATAAAATATTTTAATTTAGAAATATTTTAAAAATTGGATATAGCAATTGTAAATGCTCAATCTCCTAATACTCTTGGATTTTTTTATAATAGATTGACTCAAATTTTTGGCAATGGATTGATTGAAATTTTAATCTAGATAATATTAAAACAGAAATATTTGAAATACTCATAATAGTATTATCTGCAGAAAATTTGTTTACTGTAAATTATCATAAATAGTATTATGAATTATTAATATTAGTCATTAAGATTTTTTTCACAGCAATTATTTGTGTTGCTGATTATGAAAGTTGGATATATCATTTGGATATACTATATATTTAATTTTCACAAAGTCAAAACATATTTTTTAATCATAATAAAGAAAATCAAATATATTTACACTTGCAAAAGAAGTTGTTTTATGTAATCATAAAATTTTACGAATAAAGAAAAAACAAATATATTTACACTTGCAAAAGAAGTTGTTTTATGTAATCATAAAATTTTACGATTAGTTGGTGAAATAAATTCAACGTTTTCCCATTTTTGACTTAGACTACTTTCATAATCACCAGTATACTTATGGTGTAAGATACGTGGATAATAACTTAAAAGTACATTGATGAATACTTGACAGAATATTAGATATAAATCTTCTTTTTACATAATCTAAATACTTTTTATATATAATTATCTAAAATATTTTAATATATTAATGTAGATTACTTTTAATTTTTGTTTGTTTTTCTAAAAATATGAAAAAAGGACAGATGTTA